CAATCATTTCATGCTTTTATTCTTCTGTTTTTACTGTACTTGTCAAAGTACTTCGAACAATAACAGTACAATAGTTGCGGCAGCAAGTATACTGTTACTATCAATAAATGTTATTAATAACTGTAAATAGAAATAATTTTGCTAACTATTTACTGATAATAACATATTATGAACAATTAATTAAAGAATTGTGTTACCCTCTTACTAAGTTACTGTAGCATTTTATAGATGCAAAATTTAACATATAGATTTTTTGTGTATAAAAAAGCCGCAAAAAATCAAACTTTTTATAATATTTCTTACAGTAATTCTTTTCCATCAATTAACTGATTTCGTTATTGAAACATTAATTATTTCATTTGAAAAATTTGTGATCTAAAAAGATTTTTCTAAATTTTCTTATTTTTTATAGTTATTATTTTGAAAGAATATGAAGAATTTACATTTTCAAATAAAATTTGCAACAATTCTTGTGGAATCGCCATGAGATTTACGAGCAGAGATTTATTAGCGAAATTCCAGCCTTCGTTAGTGATATTTTGGGTTGAAGGTCACTTATTTGAACTTTTGGACTTTCCTAAGTGTGTGGAGTAAAACAAATCTAGCTGAATGCTTTAAAAATTAAAAAAATTAATTTCGAAAAGAAGAGGACATCAAACTTGCAAAAGTTCAAGTTGAATAATTTCAGTACTTCGCTTTATTCCATTAATGAACTTATTTCAATCACATCAAACAAGTTTATCTGTACTGGCTTTAATTAACTTTTGCCTTTGTCTAATTTCAGAATTATTTTAGCTAAAATTTATGTCAGGAAATAAACGGAATTTGAAAAAAAATAGTGTGTGGTGAACAAATTATTTTCAAATTATCAAAGGATTATTTGTTCGTAAAAGCAATGTTTCAAATATAGCGCCAGTTATTTTTGGAATTCACAGTTTAAAAACTGAACTCAAATAATCTTAAGTTATCGGTGGATATCAATGATCAATAATTTTATATAGTTAGGCAAGATTAAAAGTAATGCAGTACTGGAAACATCTGAATTTAGTAGCAAAAAAATGAAAACATACAAAGCTATCAAATCAGACAAAAAATAACAATTCGTCAAATTTGGTAATAATAATTTAAATCATCTTAGATAAATTACACAATAATACACTTAACAATGATAATCAAGATTTGTTTACATCACAAAGAAAGTAATTCTGTTTTTGCAAAAATGATACTAATATGTATTACTCAGGTTCTAAAGATTAGCTATAACCAATTGCTGATTCTTATGAGTTATAATCAGTAAGAAGCAAAATCAGAAGTTTTTCAAACTTCCGAAGATTTTTGCTCCAAGTGAATCCATCTTCATCAAATGCAGTGTATTAAATATCGAATGCAAACCAAATTTGATTCAGTGCAATTCATTTTATACGCAATTATGTAATTTCCTGACAAAATATGAATTAAAATTTGAGTAAAATAAATCGTTAACATCAAATAATTTTCAATGCGTGTAGATTG